AAGAAAGGAAGGAGAAAGAGAGAAAAAAGACTGCATTGAGGCTAGGCAGAAAAGAGGTAACACCAGTGTAGAGACTTCTGCTGTAGTCAGTGGGCAGACAATGAATGACCCAAGTCCTGTGTACCACCTCACTTAGGACTCAATAAATACAGCACACGTGAGCAGGTGTCCAGTGGCCAATTTGACTCGATGATCGAACTCTGAGAGCCTGGAGAGGTGGGTGGGAATCATCATGCTGGTGAGTCCCTCAATGCACATTTCTCCACGGGGAGCTCAAGAGGAGTTGGAAGGCTGATGGGAGTTCCTATCCCTGCTTTAAAGACTAAGTGAGCAGATGGTAGGGTTGACAGCCTCAACAGGAGAGACCTTATTTGTAGTGGCATTGGGTTCAGAGCCAGAGCACATTTGCACACTTAAAGAAAAAGAGAAAGAGATTATGTAATGTTTATTCCTGCAGGATAGTCTTTAAGGGACTCCCACTTTCTTTTTCTTTTCTTTCTTTCTTTCTTTCTTTCTTTCTTTCTTTTTTTTTTTTTTTTTTTTTTTTGGTGGAACCAGGAATTGAACTCAGACCCTTGCACTTGCCAGAAAAGCGCTTATTCCACTGAGCCATCTCCCCAGCAGCCACCTCCCCGGCTCCCACTTTCTATCTTTTGTGGTTTTGTATGTTTCAACTTAAAACAAATATTAATTTTTTCTGATGGTATGAGCTATATTGTCACCCCCTTCTTTGTTTTGTATTTTGAGCTGAGTTCCTAAGTTTTCCAGGTAGGGCATGAATTTGGGAGACTCCTCCTTCAGCTTCTTAGAGTACTGCATTGCATGTCCAGATACATTACTTTTATAATCAGCAAAGGTATAGATTATTTTATTTGTTTTGTGGTACCGGGAATTGAATTCAGGACCCTGTACTTGCCAGGCAAGCGCTTATTCTACTGAGCTATCTCCCGCCCCCCAGTATAGATTATTTTAAACTCACCTAATTTACCTTCTCCCATCCTTCTTTCCTTCCTTTTTTTTTTTTTTTTTCTGTCCAATGTGTGCTACCGTTCTGTAAAGGCTATCTTTGGGGCACAATAAAGGAAAGAATTTAATTACTAGGAGCAAATTTATCTTAACTAAATTCCAGATATCTGGAATGATTTTGCTCAGCCCACCGCAGGATAGGGACAGATTACAAAAAGACAATTTGGAGAGTCTGTGATGGCCACAGAGGCTCCTGGACATGTTTATCCCACCTTACCCCATCTCTGGGGTCTCTTTCTACAGGAAAGCAGCCGATGAGATGTCCTGATGTCCTGGCACCTCCCGCATCATCAAGGAAACCTGTTCTCAAAGATCATCCACTCTGCTAGCAACCAGTGACGCAAGAAGAAAGCACCTGAGCACAAACATTATTCACGCATGGAATGGGCTGTGCAGAACATGGGGTGTTGGCAGGTCATGTGCGTGCGAGGCTTTCGCTGCATTCCAACTTCTTCTCTTTGAGTTCCAAGATCCTGCTGCCCATCAAGCCTCTCTCTCTCTCTCTCTCTCTCTCTCTCTCTCTCTCTCTCTCTCTCTGTCTCTCGACTTTAACAAGAGTGAATGTTTCCAAACATTTTTCTGGTTAGCCTTCAATTAACCAGAAAATCAGATTAATTGTGCATGAACTCCTATGTCCAGGATCAGTCTGACCCACAGAAAATGCAAATCAGGGTAAAAGTAAGTCACTTTACAGTGAGGCGCTCTTGCTTTTGTTTAGGGGCATGGAAGAACTGGAAAACAAGACAGGGCCTAGGGCCAAAGAAAAACGCCGTATTTCGATGTGAGGGGCTGTGTTCGGCCTTGATACCAGTGTCGACTCAGCTAGTCGGGAACAGGGGCATTCAGTCAATCCACCTGACATGCTGTCGCTGTCCACAGGCACGGAGCTCCAAGTCATCCTGAAAGGCGCTGTCGACTGAGAAGAGGTAACAGCTGCTCCGCGGCAATTAAGCAGCAGTTTCTGTTGCTGAAGGAGATTATTTTGGATGGCGTAAAGAGATTCAAATAAAAATGTCAACGTGCCCATTATGGATGAAAGTTAGAAAAACTTAAGTGGCCCTGAATTAATCACTACTTGACAGGAAGGCACGTAAACGAGTACTAAAAAAAATCCCCCCGCAAATCTATTTTCCTGCCTTTTTGGTAATTGTAAAGAAGCTGGCTGGGGAGTGGGGAGGGCATTTCTTGGCTGCAGCCTTAATTCATCTTGGAGTGAAGATTTAATGACAAAGTTACAAGCCCTTAAAGTACCATTTATTGAGGGGCTAATGAGAGTTCCTAAGAGCTCCGTAAAAACAGAGAAGCAGCCGGCGACACAAGAGGCCTTTGAAAATCCCGAGGAGAGGAGAGGAGAGGGGAGGAGAGGGGAGGAGAGGGGAGGGGGGGGGTCATTAGCCTTTCTTCCCCCTTCTTCTTCTGCTTCTTCAGCTGATCCTTTTCCTTTCTCGACAGTGAACGTTTCTGCTGCCAACCCGTCAGGAATCGGGTTGGTTTCCTTTCAAGTAATTGATGCAGGCTTTGCGCGTGCATTAGACAACCTCTCCGACAAGAGGCAGGAAATCTCACCGTCAGAGGGAAACCGCGCGTTCCTTCCTCCCTGGCTGGCTTGGCCCCTCGCGCTGGATTTATGCTGCCCTTGCCAAAACGCCTCGGATTTCCACGGCCTCCCACGGCTAAGATAACGAATGCTGCTCTCAGGCTCCGCGAGCTGCGCTTATTTTAAAGCTCCAGCTACGCTGCAACAAAACCGGCTGCTGTCACCCCAAATCGAGCAAATGAGGCCTTGTCCTCCGGCATAAAGGCCGAGAGACTTATTGAATGTCCCCCGCGGAGAAAGCCCCACTGCCCTGCCCACACTGGATTTTCTGAACCGTCCTGCCTGGCTCTGCCTTCAGTCCAGGAGCACAGGAAAATCGTGGGGGCCGGGCTGCTCCAAACAGATCAAGTTTTCTTAAGTCAGGGTTTTTATGTTTTTTGTTTTGCTTTGGTGAGAAAAAGCAGAAACAGGAATGCTGTGAAGAAAATGCAAACTGGCCAACTGTCCTAACTTCAAATGGCCTCGGTTGGCACAGTGCTCAAAGCAATGCTGTTCAGTGAACATAAACACCGCCGACCTGTTCTAGGAAGAGGAAGAGAGGAGGGAGCTGTAGACCTTCCCAACTGTCAGACCTCCCGGTGGCTCAACAAAGACAGGGATTTAAAAAAAAAAATAGTACTGGCACTTGAACCCAGGACCTTTGCACTGAGGTACATCCCAAGCCCTTTTAAAAGTTTGCTTTGAAACAGGATGCCAGTAAATCATAAGGTGCCCAGGCTCAGTGGGAATTTGCGATCCGCAGCCTCCCAGCCAGCTGGGATGACAGGTGGGTATCACTGTGCCCCGTTTAGGAGTGCTTCTCTGGAATTACTATTTTCTACTCTCAAGGTGATTTACAACAAACCAACTGACACCCAGAAAACAAGTGTGTTCAGGAGATACTCTCTCCATTGTCCATGTTACCCCAAAATATTCCACTTCTTTCTAGAGAAAGAAGAAAGGGTTTGCAGCCCGAATTCCTCCATTTGGAGAACACACTTACTCACACCTTACTTTCTGCAGCTGCGTTAATCAGAGACCTGGGAGATGTTTCCTGTTTGTTCAAAATCCCCCTCTTAGGGAGCTTTGCGTCCTACGTCCTACGGCACGACCTCCGAGGCGGCCAGATTGCCTAATTCTAGCAGAACGGTCTGCTTGGCATCACCAGGAGGGAGCCTGGACTCCCACCCTCACCGGGCGTGGGCAGATTTCAGAGAGCCTCTCTTTAAATATAGTCACATCCTGAAAACTGCGCATCATATTTTCACCCTGCTAAGGCTGACAAAATTCGACTGATTACAGTGGGGTTTTCAGTAGCATGTGGAGAATTCTCAGCTCCACAGTGAGGCTGGAGTGGAGGCTGTTAGCTAAGGTCACAAGGAAGGAGATAGCCTCTGCTCTCTGCCAGGCTTCTGCTGTTGGGACTGAGAACTCTAAGGATGTCAAATGCCAAGAATAATACTAATAATATTAATAGTAATTGTATAAAATATACTATTATCATAGGGGCTTTAACCTGTATGCCAAATAATGGGGTATTCCTTTGTATACATCTTCCAGGTTAAACTAGGCAATGTCACTTAAAGACAGGCACTGTGATCTGTGCTACACAGATGAGAATTCAAGAGTTCAAAGAGGTTCATTAGTATGCGCCATGTGCGCACAGGAAGAGGCAGAGTTCAAGCCAGACTGGCCGGCTTCCCAAGCTTTGTTCTTCATTCCTTATTGGCCTTCCTTTCCATCACTACCTGCATCCACGCTTGGCTAATGTGGGAGCCACCCTTTCTTTCTCTATCAACTTTGATCCCCTAGACACATTCCCCAGTGTGGTGCAACGAGGACAGTATAAGCTGGTGATTAAGGGTACCTGGGCTGGGGGCTGGGGAGATAGCTTAGCACCTACCTGGCAAGTGGAGGCTGTCTAAGTACCTACCTGGCAAGAGCAAGGACTTGGGTTCGATCCCCAGTACCACAAGCCAAAACTGGGTATGGTGGTGCAAATAATCCCAGTGCTGGGGAGGCTGAGACAGGAGGGTCACTATGAGTCTGACCTCTATAGCAAGAGCTTGTACCAAATAAACAAACAGAAGAAAGAGTACAAGGGCTGGAGCCATGGCCTGGCTCTGAAACCTGGCCCTGTCACTGAGCAACTGAATAACCTTGCAAATATCCCAGATTATACCCTCATATATAAAATGAGAACAGCAAATATTTCTGTCTAATGTGG